TGAACAATGCGCTGCTAAATTATCGTTTAAAACTGTCACAGAAGTTAAACAATATTCCGATAAAGATGCTTGCAGGGTATACATACGTTTATTCGTTTGTGCACATATTTACATATGAATGTATAATTCTGAGGGTGGCTGCTGCTGCCACAGTTGTTGCCGTAATTGTTGTTGTTGTAGTAAATGCCGGCAAACAGCAGAAGCTCACTAGGTAGATGATGGTGGCAAGCAAAAGTTCAAATGTGGCATTCATCTCACAACCATTCTGTGTTTGTTACTTCCCTTCTCTCTGCTCTCCAGTCTCTACTACTATATGTTCAGTCACATACATGTATAAAGAATGAACTCTGCCCTCACTCACTGACTCACTCACAGCTGCACACTCATACATATGCAACACAGTCTTGCGTGTCCAAGTCTACAAACACACACACACACTGCTCGCCTCACATGCACGACACTTAAATAAATGAAAAACCATCACTTTTGTTTACTTCTATTTGTATGCACATTTGCGTTTCATTTTGTTCTTCTCGTCTTCTCATGTATTTTTGTTGATTCTGTTTTGCTCTCTGTTTGCCTCACAAACACACCCACACACACATTCACGTAATTATTATTATACACACATTTCATTTGGAACTGTCATTAATATCCTTACTTGCACCACAAATTACGTATACGTCACGTGCACACACACAGGCGGCTGCCATTTTAGTTTGTTTGACTATTCAACTAATTTGCTTGTACAGTATACACACACACACACATACACGCACGCATGCACACACACACTCACACACAACATGCAAAATGTTGAATATTCTTTGATTTTGATGTCAGCTAATTGCGTTGCAACACGCGCTTCAAAGTCAACGGCCGTTGCATTTGCCAACTATTTGTGGCACAGTCGGAAATAAGCAAAACAAAACTGAAGCCACTCCTTTTTGTACTGCAGACGCAAATTCCAACAAACTTAAATATATATGCTGAGCTCTCTCTCAACTAAAACTAAAAATAATAACAAAGCCAAAGCAATAACAAATAAATGGTGTTGAAATATAAGAGCAAGCACATTGGGCTGAAATGTAGAAGATATACTTATATACCCGTATATATATTTTCCTACAACAATTGAAACTTAAATTATTAGGATTAAAGAAATAATGTCTGTTCTAAACAATTTAGAGAAATGTTCTACTAATATTAAAATACCTAATTATATATTCGAAAAATTCAATTCAATAAATATCTGGAATACATAACAAAATGTCTCCAAACTTAGCAGAATTTTGAGGGGCGCGAATAGCAGCCATGAAAGGTAATTGACTACTATTGTTTTTATCAAGAAATTAAAGCGAGAGGTAACTTGAAATTCAATTAAAATTGGAGCATAACTAAACATATATATTTCCAAAATAGAAGTTTTTATATTATGAAAGAATATTTTGCTTCCATTTCAGCACTTTTGTATTTAACTTTACAAAGTTATTAATACACTTTCTTTCTTTAAATGAAAGCAAAATATTTATTTCAATTTTAAGTAGTTTTTAAAAGAATAATGAAAGATCTGTCAGCCTTTCTTAGCCTTTAATTACAAATATTGTATTTAAAACTAAAAGCTATGTTTCAAATTAATCTCAAAAGCAATTCTTTACACATTTACACACAAAATGCAAAAAACAGCTGTTTAACATTTCTTGATTGCGATTAAGGCAATCAATTGATAACTTAATTAAAAAACTAATAGTTTAAGTAGCGGTTTTGCAAAGGACATCAGGGAATAGATAAGCCATTTTTAGTTTCTACATAAATAGTTACTCCAATGTGCTTTGACTACAGCCTTCTACACACTTGTTTTTATCGGGATGCGTATAAAAATAAATGCTACTTCGCTGCTTTCATGACACATAAAAATAAGTCAAGCAAAGGTGAAAGGCAGACGCAAGTAGCGACACCATCTCTAGCAACAGCACATTCGTGACAAACAACCCACAAAGTCAGACGCCCCGAGAAGGCGACGCCAACAACATCCTTACATTTGCATGTGTGAGGACCACTGGGGAACAACAATGCCGCACACTCGTATGTGAATGGAATGGTAGCAGGCATATAAGTTTGGCTTATTTGTCGTGCCTAGGCGACTGCTGGCCATTTGTTGGCAACAAATCAAAGTAAAACACGAAAACAATATGTCAAATGTTATTATACATTAAATTAGTTAAGCCAGGCAGCAACAGCAGGAAGTCAAACAAAGCCAACGAGTGTAACGTTAAGGTCACACTTGCACGACTCTTCAATACACTTACAGCCAATTGTTTTTATACAGCTATAGCATGTATTGTAACGATATAGGTGTATGTTATTTCACTAAAAAATATGTTGCACTAATATTGGCTTCTGTGGGAGATATATAGTCCTCCGATTAAAAAAAAATTCAAATTTCTCAAGACAATTTCATAAACAAACAAGTTATTGTACTTTGCGCTTGGCTAAGACAAGTCCACTCACTAAGTTTCGTCCATGTAGTTATTATAGTTTAAAAGTCCTTGGTGTTCATACAGTCGAACAAACGGACAGAATGACACGTCTGGGTCCACCTTCTACCTCTTGAAGCCAATTATTATAGAGTATATAGAGCCATGCAGGACTGACTTACAGTGTCTGAAGTCTGTTGTATAATTGGTGTGTGAGTTCGATTCACGTTCCCTTCCGCTCTCCTCTCTTGTGGCCTGCTTCTGACATATGCGTTTACTGCCTAAAGTAATTTGCCACTGTGCCTGTACTTTTGTGTTAAATGTGACATTTTCGAGTCGGTGGGCTGTTTTCCTATTTTTTGGAAGCATGTCTGCGGTTGTGTGTGTGTTTGAGCCGAAATTCCAATTGCTTAACTTACAATTGTATATTGCATGCTCGAAGGCGTGCACGGCTTGTTGCTGTTCACTTGCTTGGGTTGGCGTGTTTACATTTTGGTTACATGACAGGCTACACTCTCTGGTGTGCTTTGTTAGTGATATCGATGGGTCTTCTGGTGTACTACTTTAATTCGTGGAAGTATTTATGAGTGTATTCATTTAGTACAGAACACATCTGTTTTGAAGTCGACTTGCAGTTCTTTCTTTCTTCAATTGAATGTCTACTTAACAGCAGCACGAAAATATTTAGTTTTCATATACAGCAGTTTAAAAGAATTACCGTTTATTGTTAAGAAATGATTTAAGAATGTTCAAACTGGCATACATACATGCAGCCCTCTATTATGAATATGCATATGAACATTCCCCGGCTTTCACTTTAAAGTTTACTTTAAACAGATAATTCTGACAATTAGTAGTCCATTTGGACTGAGAAGGTAAGTAAAATTGTAATATTAATTTACCACATGTGAGTAAATCGAAATGAATCACATGCTGTGAATACAACTTGTTATTTCTTTCTTAAGTTGAATTTAAATGCATTCATGAATCGAAAACTGCAATATAGAATAGAATAGCAAAGAATACATTCGAAATCAACTATTCAATATCAATTATTTTTAATAAATTGAACTACATCTGCTCTTTCCATTAACAGAGCCTAACACCGATAACTTTTCAGTTTACAAACTAACTAATTGCACATAAATCATCATTCGTTACCATCGAAAATCAAATAAGCAGCCTCAACTCATATTCATTGCCATGTCAATCAGTTAGCCAGACTTTAATGCATTTTCCCTGTACATTCCAACCAGCAAACGTCGGGCTTGTTGATTTTAGTTAATGAATTAAGTTTGTTTTTAAAACAATTTTTTGTTATGCATTTTTCAGCATTTCAGTGGGGAGCTCTCACCCTCTCCCCATCTTTCCCCAACCATTCATATATCTCAGTTGACATGCAAACATGCAATGTGGAAGCAAGCAATAAAACCCAACAACAAAAACTGAACAAATAAAAGTTGATTACGGTGAAGTTTATACACGAAAGTATTAATTAGCCATGTTTCTGTATTTGGATGTGGGGTGAAAAATATTTATGAATAAAAGTCAGACATTTACAAAACTACAAGAGTTCGCTTAAATGGAGGTGATTTACGAGTATGTATAATAATAAACCTTTCAAGTGGGTTTACTTTTTTTTTTGCTTTCACTATTTGTCTGCAATGAAATAGTTCATATTCGTTTTTCATCAACCGATTGATAGTTGAGAACTTTAAAAGGTGATCAAATAACAAATGGAAAATAAAACGAAATCACTTAAAATATTTGGTTGTGTATTAATTTTTTTGTGGATGTTTTCTTATTATTAAAGGGTAGACTAGTTTTTCTGATGAAAGGCATGTGATTAAATAAAAAATTACTTAAAAGGGAATGCCCTTTGTTAACATCTTCGAAACTAAATAGGCTGAAAATGTCGATCAAAAGCTCAAATTAGCATTCATTTCTTGAAGAATTTCTTTAGCAAAAAATCTTTAGATGTTTTGAGGATGACCATTTCGACTTTCTTTTAAAAATATTTATTCTTTATTTAAAGCAGGACAATTATTAAATTATATGGTAGCATTGGATTCGTTCAATCATGCGTTCTGTCATGATGTTTAAGCTAGATCGCTTTTGAATTGCCATTATCAAAGGATTGAAATAAGATGTTGGCTAACAAATTCAAAATAGCAAATTATATTTTAAAAGTTTTCAAGACCTTAATTGCATGAGTAGTTGCATGTATCAGTCAACAAAAATATAATCAAATTAAAAATAGGTTTGGAATCAATAAAAATATTTTCAATGGAAATAAAATGGATAAAATCGTCACTTCTGTATGTTTTTCATCACACAATTTGGATTAAAAGAAATATAATTATAATTGAAGATAACGTGAACTTGGTTTTGGGAATACTGTAGTTTAATTATAAATGAAATAAATACGTGTATTTGTATTAGCACTGCCATGTTGAAGGGTTATTTTCGATTAATTGTAGGAGGAGGCACATGCAAAATGAAATATTTGGCGCTGGCACTCACCTATCCTTTAGGCAAATTTTGTACTCTTGCTGGGAGTCATAGTCGCTACTGTTATCGTAGGAGGCGGCCGCCGCCGATTGTCGCTCGCGTTCGCGCATCTGTTGGAACTCCTGTTGCTGTTGCTGCTGCTGCTGTTGTTGCAGTTGTTGTATGTTGGCCAGCTGCTTGTGGAAGAGCTCCTGTTGCGATTGCAAGAGCTCGTGATGATCCTGCAGCGCAGCGTATTGTGAGAGTTGATGTTGATATGGCGACTGTTGCTGGGGTTGTTGCTGCGAATGATGATGTTGCTGGACAGGCGACACAGGTCGCATGGGTCGCTGATACGGATGATGATGCACGTTCGTATGATGAGTCTTTTGCAACTTGTGATTGCTGTGGCTATTATTATTATTGTTGTTGTTGTTGTTACTGATGCTATTGTTATTGTTGTTGTTGTTGTGATGCTTGCCATGGCAATTGGTGTTGCTGTTGTTGCTGGCATGGTGCAGGTTGTGACTGCTATTGCCGCCATGATTCAGCTGCGTCATTTTGTGGCAATTGCTCTCAACATTGCCCAAACCAAACTCCAGTTCTGCCTGGGCCTGTTGCTCGTACGCCTGTTGGGCCTGTTGCAGGCGTTCCCGTTCATTGCGCGGCGAATTCGCCAATTGTTCTGCAGGCGGTTCTATTTCTACTGCCGAATATTCGTAGTCCACAGGCACATGTTGCTGGCCGTGCTGCAATTGTTGCTGTTGTTGCTGCTGCTGCTGGTGTTGATGCTGGTGCAGATGTTGCTGATGATGCGGGTGATGATGTCCATTGCTGCTGGGCTTATTGGCGCCAGTCACGGCGCCCGTGCCGGGCGTGGCCGCTATTTTGCCCGCCAGCGCGTCAAGCGAACTGAGCATATTCAAATATTCTTGCAACACTTGTGGTGGCACTGCAACGGCAACAACAAATTCTAACTTATAATATGGTCAATAGCTGGCGTTCTGTGGCTTCTTGTCGATTGCGTCAAATATACAGCATTCGCTCTGCGCGTACATGCATGCAGCTTTCTATATACTTGCTCGTTTCTAATTTGCCTTTTTCTCCTCCAATTTCTCAATCAATCAATGTTTTTAATATCAATGGTTTTTTTTTTCAATGCTCTTGAGTTAATGCGTTTTGCTTTTCTCTTGGTTTTATGTTTCAGAGTTTTGTTTACTTTGGTTTTTTTTTCTATTTTGCCTGGTGAAGAAGTTGGGAGGCAAATTTCTTGGATTAGTACAACGACAAAATGAATAATATTAGTAAGATGAGGGGCGAGTAGACAGCGCTAAGAAATGAGCCCAGCAGAGCTACCAAAACCAGAATTAAAAGGCAGCGACACATGCTGCTGACCTTGACACTCACACACACACACATACACACCAACTGCTGTCAAGCAACTTTTGTTTTGCCACCTTCTTCAAATGGCCTTCTCTTGCCACAATAAAAACATGTCATTTTGTTTATTTACTCATCTCTTTCTTTCCATTTTGTTTGCATGACTTGTGTGTGTGTGTGTGTGTGTGTGTGTGTGTACCGTATCTTTTGTTGCGATGCCTTTGTGACTTTTTCAACATCTTGCTGCTGGTTTTGAGTGGTGTGTGCGTGTGTGTGTATTTATTTTGTATCTTAGGTCAGCTACATTTCACTTAAGCTGCTCAGAAATGCTACAAAATGCCAACGCACAAGCACTGTGACAGCACTCACCCACTCACCCACTCACACACACATGCACACACACACACACACACACACACTCGTTCATTCATGTGCTGCTGTTAGAGTGTGCGGTCGTAGAATGCAAACAACACTTGAGCAACTTGCCTGCGGACATTGTGGCTGTGCAGAGCAGAAGAGCAGCTGTTGGCATAAAAGAAAGCTGTGCCTTCATTTTTCAAGCCCCATGCCCCATGCTGCGGTTTTAAAGTCATGCCGTTAAGTATGCAATATAGATTTTACAAAAGATCTTTCATGAATATATTTAACTGAACCCATAAACGCTTCTTGCAGTCTATATTTCAACCTTTATGGTTCATTTAAAATGAAAGAGATTTCATTTATACTTTTATACATTTATACTTACTTATAATATGCACTTAAATGAAAATGAGAGATAAAAATAAACCCTTTTATATACTTGTATATCGTTCATTGTAAGTTTAAAAAAAAATGAAAAACCTATAATTAAATAAAGGGTTATCATTTTCATCTCTTCGATTATGTTACTATAAGCACTAAGTTATTCTACGTCAATAGAAAGTTAAATTATACTCGTTTTAAAGAGATTAATTAAAACCGGATACATACTTGAAATATTAAGTAAAAATAAAATAATTTTTATAACACTTTTAAAGTGTAAAAAAATTTAAAATTTGAAATTTAACCAAAGTACAATTCAAATTCAAATCCAAATCAAATAAACAATTTGAAACTAAAAGATTTATATTTTCGACGCAGCAAGTCACTAAAAAGACGCTGATTTGCTGTTTGTTTTGTTTTCGATATTGTATATTTGAGAATATTTTTTGGCAAAATTCTCGAAAGATAAACTACTTGGAAAAATAATAGTTTTCTGATGGAACAACGCTTTGCTTCAATCATATTTGAGTACACTTTTATGGAATTTTATGGACTTTTTTTTCAATTTTAATCAATAATTATTTCAATATATAAATTACTTTAGCTTATTTTTCAATTATTTTTTCATTTTCACTGTATATATATATATTTTTTTGTTTATTTTAGCTATTTACTTTTTCCACAAGCATATTTTCATTCTATCGACTTTAACGCATCGGTAGCTTAAGTTGTGAAGTTGCATTAAGAATCCTAATTAATTCAAAAGGCTAATTAAGCGGCAGGACTTGCCTATGCTTGATGCACAAAAGTATACAAATATTTTTGCTCGACAAACTTCCTGCATCATCGGCAGCAAGCTGTGCCATTAACAAGCATTTCCTGTACAGCATTTAACAAGACCAACAACCAGTACATACTATATACTCGTATACTATATACATAAAATGTCGTGTAATAAGAAAGCAGCATTTACAAAGGCTAAGCACATACAATGCATAAATATGTATGTAGGAGAGTGTATTTAGAAAGAGTGTAGCGGCTGGATGGGTGGCGCGTGTAAACTGCAAAGAGTAAAATCTTGTAAAGCGAATCCTTTCAAATGCAACCATTTCCTTGATACAAACAGACGGCAGAGAACTACTTAAAGTTGCAACAGTGTATGTGCTGCAAGCAACCGCACACAACAACAACAACAACAACAAACAACAACACTCAAAAAGCGCACTCTTTGAGTGCAACAGCAGCATTGCGAGCCACCACAGCCCACCCAGCTAGGGAGGACAGTCAAGTTGACTTTTATATGTCATGCAACAAACAGCAGCAGCACCGGCACATATGCAGATATTTGTTCGGTTGTATGTGTGCCTGTCTATGTGTGTGTGTGTGTGTGTGTGTGTGTGTGTGTGATTATGCAAGCGGAGCATGCAAAGCATGCACAAACGAATTGCTTGCAACAACATGAATAGGCGCCTTGGTACACACAAAGCACTCCCACTTCAGCCCACCACACAACACTCGCCGAGAGGCGACGGCCAAAGTAAAAGATACTAAGCAAACATTGTAGTTTAGATACTTGCAACAACAACAACAACAACAACAATTTGTGAATGGTGCGTTGCACATTGCGTGTCGTCTGCTATGAGATACTTGGCGAGCTATTGGTGAAATGTTTTTAGAAATCGTTAGAAAAAGTTATGAAAGGGCTGGCAGAGTCGGTTGTGGTGGCACGGTGGTGGTGGTGGTGGCATGCCACACAGAAGGCCAAAAAGTCAACACAGCGCCAACAAGTTGTTAGTCTGTGTTTGTTTTGATAATTGCAAAAATGCTAAAAACGTATGCATGTCTACAAATACAGAACACTGTGATAGTTTCAAAGATGCTAGAAAACTTTTTCTCTACGCAGTACTTGCAGAAAAAGTTGGGATAGCAGTTGAATTGGTTTGCCAGAAAGGCTACCAATTCCATTAATAAAGAAGTACGAATCTAGGCACAATTTGGCCAACAATCTAATCAACTTACAATTCCCACTTTTAATTTGTAAAGTATAATAATAATCATTTCCCTGCTATTCGTATAGCTTTCGCAATTAAAACTGTGTCAAGCCGGCAACCAAATAACTTAATTAAGTATCTAAATGAATTTTTCCGAATACTGTGTCTGCCCCAAAGCGCTGGCACACACATCTCTATCCTCTGTTCGCGATTTTTTCATTAGAGCAGCAAAGCTGTCGCATAATAGAATTTGAAAGGACTTTAAAAACTAGCGCACTGTTATCATCAACTAACTGGCAAAAGGAAAAGAAGCGCAACGCGAAAATGCTGGCAACGACAAAGTCCGCAACTGCGTCAAAGACGAGCGCCAGCCATAACCCAAAAACATAAATCCTTTGGAAGCACAGTGCATAGTGAAATAAATAAGGCAAATGGCAAAAGAAATGGGAAAAAATGGTGAATGGAAAAAAGTTGATAAGCGACTGCAAGCGCTTTTTAACACCAACGCGAATGTATGTACATCCAGAATATGGAAGTCTGAAACGGGGAATACTGAAGCAAAAAGGAAGGTTTGGCTGCAGTGAGAATGCACAAAAAATAATGAGATTTCGGTGCACAATGACAGTGCAAGAAAGGACATAGTTAAAAGCAGCTGGACATTAAATAATTTCAATTTCATTTCAGCATTACATTTGAAAACAAACTAGAAATGTGCGAGCTGAGCAGAAATAATTTTGCGTATTTCTGAAAGCGGAAACATAAGTTTAATTGAAAAACGATTTAATTTCTAGTTCCAGAATACTGTTTTATGGACAAGAAAATCTGCTAAGTCTAAATTATTTGCAAGTTCTACAAAAGTTTCAGCATAAGCAGATTTTTAAAAGAGCGTTGAAGTATCTGCTATGTAGAAAAGCGGGAAAGGGTATTAAAAAAGCGTTGTTTAAATAGATCTTCTTTAAGAAATAAGCAAAAACAAATAATGCCCAATTTTTTTTACATCGGGAAATTTGCTTGCCATGCAATGCCTCTTTATCTATACCCTAATTTTAAATAGAAATCTTGACCATACTTTTTTTTTTTATTTTTACTATGAATTATGTTAATGGTAAGAAAAGAATTTTTCTCGATGCTGGGCGGATCAGTCGAAAATTGTATAAACTTTCCATTTATATGGTTTTGAATAACCTACATAACGAATTTTGCAGCTCCAGCTTTTAAACTTTTCGCAATATTGGCGTTCATACAGACAAACACATGATTTCTCATCTCTCACATGATGGCAGCTTCCTTCTAACTCAACAACAGATGCTAGTCTGCTTTTTGATGGCAGAAAGACCACAGATAAAACCAGACGGAATCGTTTATCAAAAGACGAGCAATGCGCGACGAATTGATAAGCATTTAGTGGGAAGTGACAACAAAAATTGCCAACTGCAAACACTACATAAGAAGAGGAGGAGGAGGAGGAGGAGGAAGACAAAGAGGAACACAACTTTCTAAATTGACAGATTAGCGTAGACAGCAGCACCGACGGCAGTCAATTGCGCAGTAGACAGACAAACAGACAGACAGACAAACGAACAGACTGATGGACAAACAGACAGATGGAGAAATGTTAGTGGCAACTTGCAATGCTGCCGGAAATTGAGAAAGTGGTCGAAAAATGCGCGCCAGCAATAAGGAAAAATGCAACCGAGACAACGGCAAGAAAAAAGCAAAAAGTTAAACGAAAAAGTTTTGCATGGCAAGTAGAACAAAAAAAAAATAAACATAAAAGAAAAGAAAAGAAAGAAAATAGAGGAGGGATATTTGGAATTTCTTTTGGCCAATGTCGCCCCATTTCCCTCTGTCTCTCCTTTTGCCATCATCCCGACAACAACACTTAATTTACAAATGTGGTTGGGCACACGAAAGGTTAGCAAGACAGAAGACAGGAAGTGAGGCGAAGAAAATGTAAGACCCCTCCGTAGCCCCCTAGGCAGACAACGCCACAAACTTTTCTTAATGAGAGTAAAAGTTCTTTTTTTCTTCCTTAGCTGTGGTTGAAAGTTGAAAATTGCAAGTGCATGCACGTCGTTTTTCACCTTTTTATTTAGTTGAGCAAGCACAGAGAGTTGCTTTTCCTACTT